GACGAAACCTACGTCAAAGCCGACTACAAGCAGCTTCCGGGACAGGAATTTTATACGGCAAAAGGAAGGGGAAAGGTAGCAGATGTTTTCAAGCACATGAAACTGTCAAAGTTCGCAAAGAAATATTTGGTTTGGCAAGCCATCTGTACCTGTGGCTTGAAAAGCAGCATTTTCATAGCTTCCGGGACTGTCAACCAAGAAATTTACGTGAAAGAGTGTTTGAATAAACGTTTGCTGCCTTTCCTGAAGAAACACGGTTGTTCCGTACTGTTTTGGCCGGATTTGGCATCTTGCCATTACGGTAAAAAGGCCATGGAGTGGTACGCCGCCAACAACGTGCAGGTGGTTCCCAAGGACAAGAACCCTCCCAACACGCCAGAGCTCCGCCCAATTGAGAAATACTGGGCTATTGTCAAGCGGAACCTAAAGAAGACCAAAAAAACTGCTAAGGGCGAGCAGCAGTTCAAGGCAAACTGGCTTTCTGCGGCGAAGAAGGTGGACAAGGTGGCTGTACAAAATCTGATGGCAGGGGTCAAGCGTAAGGCCCGGCAATTCGGATTTGGAAAAGCGGAAGCCTAACTGCATATTTTTCCTGAATTTTATACTAATTGAACTTGAAAATGAAATTTAATTTGATTTTTTAAATAAACGATTTCACCGATTTACACGCGTTTTCCCTTGACCAAATTTTGACCGTATCACCCTTTAGAGTACTTCACCAGTGTGTTGAAGAGTTATTTGATTGATTTTGTTCCACTGCGTAGGTCATCTTCGAAACCACCTTGGAAAAATATACATTTACGACAACTCAAACGTTTAACATCCAAAGCACTCCAAACCTACTGCCAGTCTCGTTGCCCTTTTGCGAAGCAACATTTCGCACGTGCTAGTAACAATTATCGCACGTATAACCGTTATCTGTACAATCACTACTGTAAACAAACTCAGGAAAATCTGCGCAGACATCCACGATATTTTTTGGAAATTTGTCAACTCTAAATGGAAGGACAGTGGGTTCTTCCTTTGAGATGTTTTTTGGCAATGAAGTCGCCAGTTCCGCTTCGGAAAAGTGAAATTTGCTTGCCACTCACTTTAGAAGGACATTCAATGATTCTACTTCATCTGCACTTCAAATCACAGAAGCTTGTAGAGATACACTTAGGGGTTGTTCATTAACTACGTAGACAGTTTTTTTGGATTCTTGACTCCCCTCCCCTTAAGTAGACAATAGTCCATACATTTTTTTTTAAATTTAAATACTCTGTGTGCAGTCCAGATGGCATACCGTCATGCATCCTGAAAAAAATATGACGAAGAGTTGATTTTCCCTCTTATGACACTTCTCAACACATCATTACGGAAGCGTAGTTTTCTCACAAGCTGGAAAACGTCACATGTTCCCCGCACTCAAAAAAGTTCACACGTCTGATCAAAGTGTGTATACACTTGATTTATCATATGCACAATCACATTTACTTTAAGTGTATTTCACCATGGTTCAATGTGTTCTACACGTTGATTTCTAGTGTTTGAAACTTTGAAATGTTGATAAAATTTCTTTATAAATTTGAATGTATTGCACATTGAATCACACTACTGTTCAAAACAGATGGATTTGAAGTGTTTTGCATTTCAATGCGATATGATTTGGTTATTCTCTGCAAGGTAAACATCGAAAAAAGGAATTGTGTCTTCATCCTTAGCACCAGCCTCATATATGAGAACAACCGTGGCCTAGTGAGATCGAACGAAGACAACGGCAGCAGTACATCCCAACAGTCCAGGAGCAATTCCCAGATCAGACCCATTACAAAAAGGCATGTGTAAGCTGTGCCCTTTGGCAGATTTATTTATATATTTGTCGATTCAATTTTGGAGCCGGTAAAACAGAAGTCGATAAAGTAGAATTTTGTGGAACATTGAACGATGATGTGCAAAGCTATTGATATCACCATGTGAGGCACATAGACTCCAATTGTGTCACAATTCGAACCAATAGTGTTGAGGCATAGTTCAAACCTTAAGATTTACACATAAAATGGATGTGTGTCACAATAAGTGCAAAATTAGGTGTGAGACACATTTTTTGAGTGCGTGTTTAAAAAAGGGGATCGACAGAACATCGAGAATTACAAATGAATAACTTCATTGTGTGCTTGTTCCGAAGTTTTCGAAATCATAATAAATTATGTACTTTTCGACTCCTACAAGAATTGCATTTCTATGGATCAGCACGGCTTCTACCCCAAAAGATCAACATCGACAAATCTCGTCCAGTTTGCTTCGTTTTGCATACGCAACATTGATGCTGGTGCTCAGATCGACACCTCATACACTGGTTTGAAATCAGCTTCCGATAGAGTTGACCACGGAATATTGCTGAAACGTCTAGGAAGAATTGTTAGCTGGTTTGGATCATCCCTTAAAGATCGTAACCACAAGGTAGCAACCTGGGTCCTTTGTTATACTCACTCTTCATCAACGAGCTTTCCCTCGTACTACCATCTGGCTGCCGTGTGTTTTACGCTGATTAAAAAACTACAAGGGACAGCCCTATGGGGTTGTACGCAATGGTTACGTAGGACTACGTAGTCTTATATAATAAATCTTATTTGGTAACTGCAGCAGGAGCTTGTGTTTTGTGTCTCTCTGTTTATACTCTTTGGTATGACGCGCTTGACACAGATGGCCCATAGCGACTAACGAAGAGCTACTGATTCCGATAAATAGCGGTGCGGCTTCTTCCTCCTTCTATGGATGCTCATGTGGGCTGCAGCATGCTGCTTGCAGACAGCCTTTTATTGTGTAATGGAAAACACCACTCACCACGTGGTGATTGAATAAACACTTGTGAGATCGGATGGAATTCAACTTTGAAATCTGTGTTAGGGAAATCGGTTTTCGCAGGCAATCGGTGATAATTTTAATTATCATAGCAACAGTTGCACATTCGTGCAATTTTCTATAGTGACATTTTGAAAAAAAAAATGATAAAGTCTTAATTTTAAAAGATTGGTAGAAAAAATTCCTATCGATTGGCGTACTAAGAATTAAAATCCATCATCTCTGGATCAAAATCAGACCACTTTCATGCCGCGACCGACTTTGGTTTTTGAAATTGCACACCCAATGCTGTCTTCAAGAACATGGTATGTAAGATTTAAACATATCTAGATAGAGCTGCAATTAGGCGTAACAGCTTTTGTAAACAATGCTTTCCCTCGATGATTTTTACGAATTCAAAGCACGCCACGCAAACCAACATTACCGTCGGGTAGGGGAAGTCTTACCCTACCTGATGGTGATGCTGATTTGCGTAGGCGAGCCTTGACTTTCAAGACGTCATCGAAAGAAGTCATTGTTTACAAAAGCTGTTACGCCCTAATTCCAGCTCTATCTTGATATGGTAACTGACATCCGATTGATGACCTTGACAAATGTCCAAAAAATACTCTTTCAAAAATTTATGGTGGTCCTTAACAGGACCGTTTTGTCGTGATGGTTGAGTAATTCTGAGCTATTAAGGTTAGTGAACTGTGTGTTGTTTGGAATGAGGGTGACGCGCTTGGCATAGATGGCCCACAGCGACTCACGAAGAGCTACTGATTCCGATCAATAGCGGTGTGGCTTCTTCCTCCTTCTATGGATGCTCTTGTGAGCTGCAGCTTGCACTACTACTGCTGCTGCTGATGCCGACGACCGGACACCACCACACACTTTGATTGTCACTGAATCCGATCAGCGGTTGAGGGCAGCCTTGATAGCTAGCTGCTTGCGGGGAGCCTTTCGTTGTGTACTGGAAAACACCACCATTCACTACGTGGTGACTGAATAAACACTGTTTGGTGAGACCGGATGGAATTCAACTTGGAAATCTGTGTCAGGGAAACCGCTTTTCACAAGCAATCGGTGATAATTTTATATATCATAGCAACAGTTGCACATTCGAGCAATTTTCAAAGCAGACATTTTGAAAATTGATAAAAACTTAAATTTAGGAGATGTGTAAAAATATTTCTGATCGATTAATGATAAAATTATTGCAATTGGTTCAGGGGAAGCTGAGTTATTAAAGTTCAAAATCTTTCATAATTTTGTTACACATTCCATTTTTGGTTTTCACAAAGTGTACCCCCATATAGAAATCACAGACGTAGTCCTATGTAAAAAAATATAACGTTAAAATATACATTATTATTAAAGGTATCGAGGACTGCTATGCTCTATAACTGCTGCTAAATAGTTTTGCTGATTGGTGCACCCGGAACATGCTGACGTTTAGCATCCACAAATTTAACATAACATCGCAAGCTCAACCCGATTTCGTACGATTATTCACTTTATTCGGAATAATACTTAAAGATTGCACTATCTTTTTATAGCAGCTGATTTACGCAGCTTTAACTGCAAAGTTTAATCCTACATTAGTTTCACATTATCAAATCAATCAATTAACTTACAATAGATAGTTTTCCTTATTATCTCGTCCTACGAGCGGTGCGTTGAAGCTTTTACTTTAGTTCCAACACTAGTCTGGATATCATTATATAATTAGTCCCAATCGCACATAATTCAAATCTTGCGATAAATTCATGGATTACTTACTTTTCTAGTCGGGATCTTTGTCCACCTTTCTAGTCACTAGTTTACGGTATCTGTAATTTTAGATTCAGTTTTGACTTCCAGTGTTATCCAACCTAGATAAAGTAGCTATTTTATACCATCGTTTTTCATAACTGTAACTCAACAAATTTACCCTCAATTACTGGTAGCGCAATTTTCTAACTGAACAATTACACTTCTATCAACACTATTTTAATTACATTAGTAATTCCACTAAAATAAAAGTTTTTAATTTACTCACTTATAAACATTCCATATACTTTAGGTCTCGATTTGTTTTTATTTACTGTTCTCCTTTCAATTCCTCCGTTTACCTAACAGCGATATGGCGTTATCACTACACTGGTATTTGGCCCAAACCGTGTGGCCAGTTTTCTTCACACCCCCACCCGTAACTCCGGTTCCGCTCCACCGGAAGTCCCGGATTTACCAGGAATCTCTAACACTGCTAGGTTGGCCACTGCTCTCATGAATACGCCTTTGTTCGTTCTCACCTTCGCTTGCCGGATCTTTCCATCTGCAGCTTCAACGACTTCTTCTATTATGCCGCGAACCCAGTTCTTCCGCTGTGCTCCATCTACTAGAAACACCAAATCTCCTACTTGCAATGGCCTTCGCTCTTCAAACCACTTCGTCCTCCGATTGATACTAGGAAGATATTCTCTACTCCACCTCTGCCACATTCTATCGGCTAGGTACTGCGACCGCTTGTAAACGTCCCTCAGCGCCTCTGCCAGCTCGATTTGATCATCAACCATCTGATCCACATGCTTGGTAACGCCACGCAGAAAATGGTTGGGTGTGATGGCTTCGGTCTCCTCAGATTCTTGTGGAAGGTATGTCAATGGACGAGAATTGACCATATCTTCCGCCTCGGACAACGTGGTCAGGAGTATTTCATCCGTCAGCTTCCTACCGTCGTCCAATGCCCTCATCTCCTCCTTCACTGATCTCACCATTCTTTCCCAGCTTCCACCCATGTGGGGTGTTCCGGGTAGAATGAAGTGCCACTTGATTGTTGGACTTGAAACACTTTCAGCGCATTCCGCACTGATTTTCTGATTCGCCTTGGACATTTCGTTGTTTGCACCCTTGAAATTGGTTCCGTTATCCGAAAAGAATTCGTCCGGTGAACCTCGCTTGCAGATGAACCTCCTTATCGCCATCAGACAAGCTTGCGTGGTTAAACTATGCACCACTTCTGAATGGCTCGTACCACAAGGCAAGTGAACAGAGCTACCCATCTTTTCTCTCTTCGACGATCGACCAACACTTCTACAGGACCCAGATAATCAACTCCGACCGAGCTGAAGGGGCGCAACTGCGGCGTGACACGTTGAACAGGAAGTGGTGCCAACACCGGAACTTGTGGCTGACATCGGTTGACTTTGCACCACATGCAGTCTTTCACGACTAGCGAAATGGTTGATCGAAGCTTTGGGATGTAGAAGCGTTGACGAAGCTCGTTGAACACGGTCTCCTTGTTGGCATGACCATATTTTTCATGGTAATATTGGATGATCATACTTGTGATCTGGTGTCGCTTGGGAAGAATTACTGGAAATTTCTTGTCGAAAGGAACCGATTCCGATAGCGCCAGTCTTCCACCCATGCGCACAATTCCGTTGGCATCGATGATCGGACTCAGCTTGTAGAGCCAGCTTGACTTGTCAACGAGTACCGGTGATTGATCCGGGTTGCGTTCACGGGTGGTCTCCAATATCTTCACTTCCTCCTGAAAGCTGTCCTGCTGGGCTTGTTTCACAAGCATAATTTCTCCTGCTTGGAGCTCGTCTTGAAGCAGCGGCGACCAGATGGATTCCGGTTTCGCTATTACAGAACGCTCCAAGTAGCGCCCCGCCTTCGATACTAGAATTGGGTTCCTAGCTATTTTCCTCCGACAGTTGGCAATGAATCGAACTACGCTGGCTGCGATACGAATTAACCTTAACCACCGTGACGTTACATTGACGTTGATCAAAAGACGGGATTCTTCGTGGAATAGCACGCATGCTTTCATCCCTTCCGGGTCTTCGAACACCGCTTTCTTCTGCTCAGGCCACTCTGACTCCGATTCGTACAAAAATGGTGGTCCGTTGAACCATGGACCATCTGATTGGAGTGGTGGTCCTCGTCCCCATTTCGTTACGACATCGGCGATGTTCATATCGGACGGAACGTACCGTCAATCCTTTGTGGATGTCAGCTCGAAAAGCAACGAATTGCTTATATTTATGCTGATCAGAACAGATCCAGCTCAGAACCGTTTGAGAATCACTCCACAGAACGGATCTAGTAATGGGAAGTGAATGATTTGATCTTACCGTTTGCAGCATCCGGGCCCCGAGAACAGCAGCCATCAGCTCGAGACGAGGAACCGATTGTAGTTTTAGTGGAGCTACCTTTGAGCGTGACATCACCAGCGAACACCTCACGTTTTCGTTAATTACTGCTCTGAAGTAGACTGCCCAACCGTACGCGTGAATGCTTGCATCGGTAAAGACATGCAGCTCTAGAGAGTTGATCGACGATGAGCGGGTGTCTTTGAAGTAGCAGCGAGGTATGCGTAGGTCTTCCAACATCGGTAACTGACGCGCCCAGCGTTCCCACTTTTCAAGGCTCTTGTCATCTACTGCGTCGTCCCATTTGCACCCCGTGCGCCACAGATCTTGCACCACAATTTTTCCGTGAATCGTAAATGGTGTGAGCAAACCTAATGGGTCGAAGAATCCCATCACGCAGCTCAGAACTATCCTCTTCGTAGGACGCTCACCTTCCAGCAAGTACGGTCTCACGTCTTGCCGATGCTCCGTCGAAAACGAAAACTCGTTCTGTCTTGGATCCCAGATGATTCCAAGCACTCGCTCCGACTGCTCTTTTTTGATTTCTCCCAGTTCCTCAAGAAACGCTTCGGAGTTCGCTACCCAGTTCCTGATCTCGAAACCTCCTTTCGAGTGAACATATCTAACCTCTTTCGCTCTTTTGACTGCCTCTTGGATTGTATCGACGCTGTCGAAGTAGTCGTCGACGTAATGCTTCTCTATTATCGCCACTGCTGCTTCTGGAAACTCCGTGGAAAACTCGATGGCATTTTTGTTCTTCACATACTGCGCTTGACATGGTGAACATTTTGACCCAAAGGTTGTGACGTCCATTATGTACACGTTTGGAGAATCGCTTGATGAGTTTCTGAACACGAACATTTGCACCTTCTTATCCGCTGCCCGAATCAGTAGTTGGTGATACATCTCCCGGATATCTCCGCCGAATCCGATTGGTCGTTCTCGAAAACGATTGAGAACACCCGGTAGCGGAGTGAGCATGTCCGGACCAGTGAGCACCTGGGAATTCAAGGAGACACCATTCACTGTTGCCGCTGCATCCCACACCAGTCGTACTTTTCCAGGCTTCTTAGGGTTCAACACTACGTTGATGGGAAGGAACCATGACTCCTGCGGATCGAATTCAGCCAATTCTTCCGGTGTCGCTAGATGTGCGTAGCCCTTTTGCTGGTACTCCACGATCTGCTTTCGCACATTCACGTACAGCTCCGGTGTCTTCTCCAATCGTATCTCCAGCTGTTTTAATCTGCGCACCGCCATTTGGTAGCTGTTCGGAAACTTCGGTTTATCAGATTTCCACAGCATTCCGGTTTCGAAACGGTCACCAACACGAACGGTAGTTCGCTCTAAAATCTCCCGAGCTCGTTTCTCCTCCTTTGACTCCTGCGATACAGCTACCACCGATTCCTCCAGTGAGTAATGCTCCTTCAGCATGTGGTGCAGATCTTCGTTGGTGATTTCGTGATGATACCCAACGACGTTCTGCTCACGTTTGGCTTGCCCTCCCATTGGACCGTAGACTGACCATCCAAGTTTGGACCGTACAGCGATTGGCTCCCCTTACTCTCCAACTTTAGCTTCCACTGGTGCGATGGCGTGAAGATTGTTCAATCCGATGAGCATACCGGGTCTTTGCCTTGGATACGACGACATCGGTAGATCACGGAGAAAATGGTATGCATTAGAAATTTCGGCACCGTCCAGTGATTGACTAGGCAGAAGAACAACTTCTACGGTCTGTACGCATTTCAGAAGCAGCTTTTCTCCGTTTCCGGAAGTGGATATCCACAGGTTCATCTTCGTTGACTCTTTTTCCACTCGAGTGACATCAGCGGTCCATTTGATCGTGAGCGGATGGAGAACTCCTTTTGCCCCTAGTCGGTCGGTCAACGATCGCTCGGATTAAATGCCGATCAAGAATATCCAGCTGCTTTGACGACGACATCAACACGACTCTAAGCAAACACTTGGCAAATCATCCAAATAAGGGTGAAATTAAAAGTTAATCCGAGGTGAAGCTTACCGCCATTAGTGTTCATGATTAGTAAACATTGACAGCAGCTTGTGCCACTTTTTCTCGAGTGAGTGAACTCAAATCCATCCGTGCACTCGTCTATACTACACAGCTCGTGATGGTCAGGAAGTTGACGATGCGGATAAGTCTATTTTTACCGAAAAATTTGGTAAGAAGGCCATGGTTTGGCAAGCGATATGTGAGTGTGGCAAGATGTCAAACCCATTTGTGACAAAGGAGATGATGAAAACTGAAATTTACGTTCGGGAGTGTTTGAATCGGCGTCGGCGGCTCATGATCTGTCAACTTGATGGTTCAGTACTATTTTGGTCCAATTTGGTGTCAATGTACCAATGAGCTGGATTACCGAGGTTAAGCATAGCCGACTGCTTGTGAGTAAAACCCCTGTACGATACATGCAATTAGTGACGTCACTTATTGCGTTTACGTTTATTTGTTGGAATCAGTCTTGTAAGCGGTCACGGTAGTCGACACATTTTCTGTGATAATTGACTGCCTTTGCCTCCGACTCTTGCAAAACAAGCTATCATATGGCAGGCTCTGTCATACGACACTGTCGCCGAAGACTGTCACCAATGTATGTATTTTAGTTTTTCTCATAATAAGAGCTGCTGATGTTCTGCTTGTGTGAATTCTGAAAATAGCAAACATGATGTCCTACTGTGTTACCTGACTTATAACGAATATACGTTGTATACGAGTACCCCGAATACAACGTATAGTTCGTCGAATTTTACATTGCAAATGCTATGCAAAATTAGACGAGTCATACGTTGTATTCGGGGTACTCGTATACAACGTATATTCGTTATAAGTCAGGTAACACAGTAGTAATAATATTTCTGATCAGAAATGGTTTGATTTACACCAAATTGAGGAATTACAACGAAATCACACATGTCAAATGACAGCTATTTTGATAATTTTCTTTTAGCTGGAATGTTATTCTACCGCTCGTGTTGTGTGAGAGAGACGGCGGTAGAGCATGAGTGGTTCGAATTCAAACAGACTGTCGCGCACGACAACGAAGCGAGTGTAGTAAAAAACGTCAACTGTTTCAACCCCTGGTTGGAATACTAATACAACCATATTTCACAATCTGCTTCACCTCTCTCTGTACCTCATTGTCAATGTACTACTCGAAAGACACGGTTGCTTGGTACAAAGCAAACCATGTGCAATGGGTGGCAAAAGAGATGGATCCTCTGTATTGTTCGGAGGCCTGTTCAATCGAAACTTTTTGTGAAACACTTTAAGGCAGCGAATTCAATCGAAGAATTTGAAAAAGACTGGACAAATTTAGCCAAAATTATCGCCAAGGAATCTGTGCTGAAGCTCATGGGCAGCGTCAGATCAAAAGTTCACTCCTTGGCATACAATTAAAGGAACTGCGGATTATTTTCATCGAGAATACTGTAGAGAACATAGAGATTTGAGTTCATTTACATAACGTTGTTTTATTCCAATAATAATGTGAGATTTTTGCTATTCTTTAGTTATGTTCCATAGATGTTTTGATATTTTTTACGAAATTTTTCCAATTTTAGCAATTTTTTAAGTTCTGTTCCCGAATTATAATAGTAAAATTTGCTTTTGATTTGATATTCTGGTCCACTCCGGAAAATATGTTCCCATACTTTGAGCAAACTATTATTTTCTTACAGCAACTTACATCAAAAGCAAAAAACCCAAGCACGGGAACAAACCTGATAACACAATCCCATGACGTTGATCACCTAAAAAAAAAAACAAATCTTCTCACACACCTGTCGAATCATAAATTCCAGAA